TGTGCCACACGGTGGACCTCTTTGGATACGGCAGTCGAACTGTCCGTTTGGAGAGGCAGCTGCTGTTGATTGCTCACAATTTCTCGCCTTTATCTACCTTTTCTATGCTGGTCTCAATGACTTCTTTGTTCCTTTGCAGGGCAGTCGTGAACAAGAGAAGGAGACCTGGGAGGAGGAAGACGAAATGGATGCCGACTCGTATACACCGGAGTTATTCTTCAGACGTCACGGTAATCATTTTCCTCCCTTTTTGCTCGTTATTCTTTCAACTTGTGTGGTTGAGCTGCAAAGGCGGTCACTGCGTTTGATCAAAATACAACGGTTTCACATGCAGGAAAGGGAAGGGGTTTCTACTGAAGGCTGTCATTTGGATACTTTTGACTTCTTTAAGTCCTCCATACATCCACACTTCCTATCACGTCCATTAGAACACGCGACATCAAACGTTGCAGCATACAAAACACAATACTTCAATTGTGGGCTTCTTCTTTCATCTGTTTACCTCTAAAAGAATGAATATGCATGCGCGCACTCAAATTATCTTCGTTTTATTGTCTGTTCTTTAGAGGAAGAGATTGTCGGAAAGTGTTAGTGTGAGAAGCTCCGGCACTCCTGCTTGCCCGAAGGCGTCGAACAGAAAGTTAACTCAATACTTGGCTCAACACAGTTCAAGACATGGAAGCGGTTCTTAGATAGAGCCTCTGTTATAACCGAGTGTTCACCCGCGTCTGGAGTGATCAACTGCGTCGCCACTGTTATAACCGAGTGTGTTCCTGTGTCAACACTGGTTATGTCCCCCAGTTACGGGTTAGGAAGAGAAGGCAGAACAGGATAGCAGATAGTACTTTACTGCTACTAGTTCTGCTTGTACATCAGCGTTGTCTTCTGTCGTCGGTAGCTCGTCTCGGCCAACAGCACGTCTTTTCACTAACAGCAGAATCTCGGGTCGTTGGCAGCGTCTCCAGCAACAGAGTGGCCGCCTTCAGTGGTGGCAGCATATTTAGGGGACAGTAGTCATTGATCCCCATTGGCTTTCCATGAATTGCCGTGCGCGCGCTTGCTTACGCGCGCACGTGCATGTGTCATCATCGTGACCTCCCGATAGCGGCAACCCGGCCCCGGGGCAGTCTCGCTTGCGCGTGCCCCCTTTGTCCTGACCTAATGTCCGCCCTTTGAAGGTCGCTTGTAACTGCATGAACCGGTTACCTGTAAGGTCCCTTTGTTCTGGTACCTTCGGGATTTCCCGAGTGATAACTCGCGTCCGGGCCATCCCAACAGCCTCCGTATTCGATATCCGTCACTGAAGAAGAGAATGGATTGAGCTTCCCAAATCCGCTGCCGAAAATCGTCATGCGTACAGGGATACAATAGGTGA